CGTCACACAAACTTGAAAAGCAGGTGATACCTGTCTTTTGAACTGGCAACAAGGGAAAGTAACAGGTAGAAAATTGAGAAGTAGAGCATATTGTGAAACAGGAGTTTATGTAAGGTGACTGAAACATACTGTATATAGGTAGGTGGGGTGTATATTAAAGTATCAGACTTAAGAGAAGTTAGTATATCAGCAGCCTGCTTTAGGACTTACTGGTTTTTGAAATAGTGTCCTTATGGATTGACTATTGTATACATTTTTGTTTAATTTTCCAGTTTTGTATTCTGAAAGCAAGAGCTATGTAATTACAGGAATTTATTATATTTATGAGCTAAACGTAATTAAAATGTAGTTTGTAGAAATTTACCTAAAATTTCTTTAAAACATAATTCGGGGCTCCTGGGTGGCTCAGTCGTTACGTGTCTGCCTTAGGCTCAGGTCATGATCCTGGTGTCCTGGGATCAAGCCCCGCCTCAGGCTCCCTGCTCAGCGGGAAGCCTGCTTCTCCCTCCCCCACCCCCTCTGCTTGTGTTCCCTCTCTCACTGTGTCTTTCTCTGTCAGATAAATAAATAAAATCAAAAAAATAAATAAATAAAACATATAATTCAAGACTTTAAATGATTTAATTTTCAGATGTTCCAGTATATTTTTGGCAACAGCTTAAAGTTTTGACATACTTTTTGGAGAGAAGTACCTTTTCTTAATCACTGGTTCCTAGTTACTTGGGGAAAAGATTCTTCTCTTTTGGTATTTATTGATCACATCGTCTAAAGATCAGACTCTGTATATCTTTTTTTCTTTATAGTAATGGATGATAGTAACCTTTCAAATTTGAATTGACTTAATAGGAAAGGTGTTTTGCTAAAGATATTTGTATTTGTTTGCCTCAGACGTAAGTTCATATAAAATGAGCAACTCCTGTGGTGAAATATAATCCAGGAAGTGCTAGAACTTCTTTTGCTTGTTTTTTGTTGTTGTTTTGTTTTTTGTTTTTTGTTTTTAAGTAGGCTCCATTGACAGAGCCAGCCAGGCTCCCCAGTTTTTGCTCGTTATTCTGCCCTACTCATGTCTCCCAGCTTTCCTTTCCATTAAAAAAAATTCTTTTTTTTGCTACATATTTAGATGTTTTCAAGGTTGGTGTGTAACTTTTGATTTACAAATATCTTTGCTGCTGACCAAGACTGGGCAGTCGGTAGGGATGGAGAAATTCTCCTCTCTCTTCCCATTCCAGTGTTAACTGTAAAGTAGAAATAGAGGAAGAGAGAATATCAATAAAGGAGTTCCACTAAAACTATTTAACTTTAGTCTGTATGTGAAATTTAGATTCTCATATGTGAAATATAATTTAGCTCAGATAAGTACACCCCTGAATTAGTAGAATAGGTTTTATTTTGAAAATGATGGGGTTTTTGTACATTTTCTAGTGTTCACATAACTGTGTATTTGAAAATTCTTCTCATATTTTGTATTAATTTATTCAGATTATTAATTTTCTCAATTTCATCCTTTTTTATTGCCATATAATTGACATATAATATTGTGTAATTTTAAGGTGTACATGTTGATTTGATACATTTATATATTACAGTATGGTTACCACCTTAGCATTAGGTTAGCTAACACCTCTATCATATTGGAAATTCTCTTTTATTTAATTAATTTGTTTATATTTTTCAAGAATCCTCTTTTAAACCTATTTATGTGTATAGAGAACATGAGTGGTTTTTTTAAAACACATTTTGGATATACTTAACTGTTCTTACAAAAATAATTTTCTTGTAGCCAAATGTAATTTTTGATGTTTATAAAGTGCCTTCTTCCATTCATAGTAACACTTTGCCCAGTGATAAAATGTATTTCTTCAATAGGCAATATGTATGTGTATGTTTAAGAACATAGTTGTAACTGAACTTTTTCAGTTAAGTATAGCATTTGAAATAGATGGTAATTAGCTATAGCAGACGAAAAGGTTTAAAATATCAATTCCTAAATCAATATATTCTTAATGCTTCTTAAAAATACTTATTTAAGGGGTGCCTGTATGGCTCAGCCGGTTAAGCGTGTGACTCTGGTTTGGGCTCAGGTCATAATCTCATGGGTCATGAGAATGAGCCCCAAGTGGGGCTCTGCACTCACCGGGGAGTCTGCTTGAGATTCTCTACCTGTGCCCCTCCACCCACTCATCCATGTGCTCTCTCTCTCTCAAGAATAATAAATCTTTAAAAAATTTATTAAAATTTGAGAAGGTACATTGTTGTATGCTTCAAACTCCAGAAAGTATAGAAACATACACAGTGAGAATTCACCTTCCACACAGGATGTTATATTTTTTCCCCAGTGTATCCTTCCAGAGATATTTTTAACATATACAAATACTGCATATATGTGTTATTTTATCATAAAACCTCCTTTGAACACAGTTTTGTATCTTGCTTTTTTTTCCCATTTAATGTATCATAAAGATCTCTCCACAGTGGCACACTGTTATTATACCACAATTTCACCAGCTCCCTTTGATTGTTTCCAGTCTTTTGTATTACAAATAATGTTAAAAATGAGTAAACGAGACCTACCTCGTTTCACCAGTATGCAAGTGTATTTATGGGACAAGTTCCTAGAGGGGAATTGCTGGGCTTATATGCATTTATAATTTTGGTAGATATTGGCAGTCTGCCTGATACAGAGCAGTGGTTTTGAACCAGGGGCAGTTTTGTTCCAGGGAGACATTTGGCAAAGTCCGGGACACTGATTTTTCACTATTTGGGGGAGGGCCATGCTCCTGGTATGTTTGAGAGCTGTTTGATTTATGTGAACTATTAGGTCCTTTATTCATTTTCCAGTAAGAGTAATCATGCCCTTTGTTCATTATATAAATTTTGAATACCTTTTCTCTGTGTCTATTTGTCTTTTGATTTCTGCTTGGCAAAAACACTATGAACATTTTTTTTTTTTAAAGATTTTATTTATCTGACAGAGACACAGCGACAGAGGGAACACAAGGAGGGGGAGTGGGAGAGGGAGAAGCAGGCTTCCCTCTGAGCAGGGAGCCCAACGCAGGGCTAGATCCCGAGGACCCTAGGATGATGACCTGAGGTGAAGGCAGACGCCCAATGACTGAGCCGCCCAGGTGCCCACTATGAACATTTTTAAAAACATATTGTATATGAAGGAAATTGCTGAGTTTTGGTTGGAAATGCCTTCCTTAGTATCAGTTATTCAAGGATTCTTCCATCTTTGTGGGAACACTTTTATCATTTCATTTTGTGCATTTTGATATTTGATGTATTTGGAATTTATCCTGGTATAAGGTATAAATACAACTTACTTTTTTCCAGATCACTACCTAAAGACACTATCACTATTTAATAATTATCTGTCTTTTTCTACTGATTTAAAATACTGTTATCACATACAAACTTCTCATGTATTTGAGTCTAAAGATACGTTTTAATGAAATCAATATCTTGGAGATATCTGCACTCCTATGTTTATTGCAGCATTATTAATGATAGCCAAGATATGGAAACAATCTAAGTATCACCTACAGATGAATAGATAAAGATGTGGTTTGTGTCTACACACACACACACACACAATGGAATATTATTCAGCCACAAGAAAGAAGGAAATTCTGCTGTGCAACAGTATGGATGAACCTGGAGGGTATTTCGCTAAGTGCAATAAACCAGACAAAGAAAGACAAATGTGTGGTACCACTTATATGTGAACCAAAAAAAAACCAAAACCAATTTCATGGAAACAGAATGGTGGCTCCTAGGAGCTTGGGGAGGGGGAAGTGCGGAGATGTAGGTCAAAGGGTACAAACTTTCAGTTACAGGATGAGTAAGTTCTGAGGACCTGGTGTACAGCATGGTGACTATAGTTAATAATACAGTACTGTATACTTGAAATTGGCTGAGAGTAGCTCTTAAGCCTTCTCACCACACATGCACAAAAAATGAGTCAACTGTGAGGTAATGCATGTGTTAATTGTCTTGATCTTAGTAATCATTATACAGTATGTATGTATAGCAAATAATCATGTTGTATACTCTATATAATTGTATTTCTCATAGGTGCCTCAATAAAGTTGGAAAATATAAATAAACTATGTTTGAATATCTAGTAGGATGGCAAGGCTATTCCCTCATTATTCTTACTTGGATTTTTCCTGCCTGTTCTTGTTTTTCTTAATATGAACTTCAGAATTAGCTTGTATGATTAAAAAAATTTGTTTTATTATAATCTCATTTTAGGTGTTGATTAATTTAAGTAGAATTGATATCTTTTATGATGTTGAGTTTCCTCTCTGAGAACAATGGGTGTTCTTAGGAATGTTTTAAAGATATCTTTATATAGACTTACACTTATTTAGTTTATTTCTCTGTTTTATTTTTTTGTTGTTGCACTTGTAAATGGGGTCTTGCATTACATATTCTGATTATTTGTAAATATGAAAGCTTATTTCCGTGTACCAATTTGTACTCGGTCACCATTTCAAGTTCTTATTGTTTGTATTTTTCAGTTGATTTTCCAATACACAACCATTATCTAGAAAGAGTAATATTTTTATCTCCTTCATTCCAAGTTATTATACCCTTTCTCTTGTCTATTTATATTTGCTAGAAATTCCAGAACAATATTAGATGGATGATAAAAAAAACATTGTGGTAGAATACTTTTTCTGAAAGCTTCTTGTATTTTAGGACAGATGTTTCCTTATTTCCTTTTTAAACTTGATAACTTTTGGTGGATTGATGTCGCTAATTCTTTCATATTGGAAATATTCATCAGTCTTTTTAAAGAGTTTTCATCAATAGAGGATGTAAATTTTTTAAATGCCTTTTCAGCATCCATTGATATGATATGATTTTTTTCTTCTTAAATCTATTAGAATGAAATATGAGTAGATCTTCCCATCTTTAACTATCCTTGCATTGCTGGGTAAACCCCACATAGTCAAGGACGATTAGTTTTTAATATTCAGTGCTTTTTCTCGCAGGTTTACCATGTTCATTCTGACAGCTATGAGACACAAAACCAGCACTATGGAAGAAGCTTAACAAAAGAAACTCTAAAGGATGGTAAGGATTGAAAAACCTATTTCAATACTTTTATTACTGCACAGTTATCAAAACAATTCTAAAGTAATTTCAATCTTAATTCTTTGGTATAATGATAGTATAATGACTCAATCCATAATAAATAAACATAAATCCTTAAATTTACACAATTGAATTATTCATAATCCCTGGTTTATAATACACCAAAACCAGGGATCCGTGAATGCCTTCTTTTACATTTTAGCACATTTCTTATTTATTATTATACATTAAAAAAATAATGAACATCTGTGAACCAGCCATATAGTTGAAGTCCTGAAACTCGAGGTTGTCTTTCAAATCCTAGGATGTAAATCATAGTGTATTAAAACTGCTTTTTACATAAGAGACTTTAAAGTATGTATTGTTGTATGTAATGTATTTTTATTGAAATCTCCCATGTCTAGTTTAGTTGTATATTATAAGCTTCTAGAATTACATAATAAATAAATGGCATTAGAAGTAGTTTAAAGTCAGTTAACATACATACCTCTAAAATAGTTATAGCCAAGCTATTACAAAAGCAATGAGACCTTAATAGATTTCTGGAAATAATATTCTATTAAGAAGTTTATTCTTAGCTTTGCCTAAGATGGGAAAGAGCTTATATGTAGTGTAATAGTTTGAAGAAAAATTTTAATTTTTTTTAAAGATTTTATTTATTTGACAGAGAGAGAGAGCAAGAGCAGGAACACAAGCAGGCTTCCCGCTTGGCAGGGAGCCCCATGTGCGGCTCGATCCCAGGACCCTGGGATCATGACCTGAGCCGAAGGCAGACACTTAACGACCGAGCCACCCAGGCGCCCCCCAAAAATTTAATTTTATATATAGAAAACAAATATACACAGTGTGATCTTAACAGTATTTGCCTTGGTTTACTTAACCAATAGCAGGTAATATTCAGATTGGCTCTTTATTAAAATATTTTGCAGGCTAATGTGAATATACATCTTTAGCGATTTCTGTCCCAGAGTGAGGGAGCAAACTGTTTAAGAGCAGAAATGAAATTATATATGCCCATAAATTCTCAAATAGGATAAAATAGGCATAAATAACTTTAAAAGAGGCTTAATAATCTGATCGGTTAAAACATGTAAAAGTCTCAATTTTGAATAACATATTCAACCTGGGTAGTATTGATCCCCAAAGTGAGCTTAACTTTTGTGAAGACTGATTTAATCAATATTAAGAACAGGAAGAATTTATTATACTTATGATTTGGTATTTTGGTAATGGGCTGTTGATGCCATTACACGTAGTTGTGATTTGACTGTAGGTTTTAGATTAGCTCTTGAATGTGATTTTCTAACAAGTAATCTTAGTAAAAAATAAATCCCTCACACTGGCAAATGAAGCAAATCTTGGAATCACATTCCTAAAGAGAATAGAGAGAGAACTAAACTACCAGTCTTTGTGTAATAATTTTTTTAATCTAAATAGTTTATTTCACTTTACGTAAGTGTCATTTTCTAGTAAAAGAATCTTCACTAGAGGGCACCTGGGTGGCTCAGATGGTTAAGCGTCTGCCTTCGGCTCAGGTCATGATCCCAGGGTCCTAGGATCGAGTCCCACATCGGGCTCCCGGCTCAGCGGGGAGCCTGCTTCTCCCTCTGACCCTCTCCCCTCTCATGCTGTTTCTCTCTCGCTCGCCCTCTAAAAAATAAATAAATAAAATCTTTAAAGAAAAAAAAAAATCTTCACTAGAAATTAAGTTGTGGCCCAGGTTTCTATGTCTTGACTAGAATTTTGCCTGTTCAGCTAATTGCAAGGGGTAAAGGGAAGAAATTGATGAATTGTATCTAAGATGAGTTTATTTCCCACATGATAGCTAGTTCATAATTTCATTATAATCCTAATATTTTCTTGTTTATAGGAGTCTCCAGGTTTTTTCATAATGGATTCTGCTTAAGAAAAGATGCTGTTGCTGCCAGTATTCAGAAGATTGAGAATATTCTGCAGTGGTTTGAAAATCAGAAGCAACTTAACTTTTATGCAAGTTCATTACTGTTTGTTTATGAAGGTTCATCTCGGCCAACTCCTACAAAATCGAATGACAGAACTTTGGTAGAAAAGTTTTTGTCCAAAGGGCAGCTGTCAGACACAGATGTACTGGAGTACAATAATAACTTTCATGTGTTAAATTCCACAGAGAATGGAAAAATAGATGCTTCCGTAGGCAAAAGCTTGTCCAAGATGTATGCTCGTCACAGAAAAATGTGTTCAAAAAAGCATCACAGTCAGACTTCATTGAAAGTTGAAAATACAGAGCAAGACAATGGGTGGAAAAGCATGTCACAGGAACATTTAAATGGAAATGTACTCTCCCAACTGGAAAAAGTTTTTTATCATCTTCCCACTGGTTGCCAAGAGATTTCAGAAGCAGAAGTGCGAATGATAGATTTTGCTCATGTGTTCCCTAGCAACACAATAGATGAGGGATATGTTTATGGGCTGAGGCATTTAATTACCGTACTGCAAAGTATTTTAGACAATTGAATCCTTTGCTGCAGTCTTCTTAAGGGAAGGAGCAATCAAGAACAGCAGTCAGTATCTCTGTACTTGTAAAGCTATGTAAAAAAATTTATATTGTGAGTCTACATTTTGTCTTTATACTTTTGGTAGAAGGGTTATCTTTTTATAATCTTACTCAGGAAAACTAATTATTTGTTCATTAGAAAACTATGAAGAATAAAGAAAGGAATCTTAAGCAGGGAATGTGGTGGTACATGGCTTAAACATCTGTTTGGCTGAAGCAAACTGCAAACCATTATTCAGCCATTAAGAGTTAATTTAGCTTTCTGTAGCCAATCTGTCATGAAATCTCTGTCCACCCAACCTTGACAATGAGCCATATCTAAACTCATTACATTATTAGAACACTTTTAAAAATCTAGAAAGCACAGGTTGATGTCCTTAGTATTACTATGTGTGTATGAAGTTACTAAAACTGGAGAAAATTCTACTTCAGAACAGTTAAGTACTGTTCAGGTTTTATATTAAAAGTTCAGACCAGCATATCAAAAGGTGCTTCTTAGTAAAGCGATTTAGAATTATTGCATTCCAAAAGCAGATTTTCTCTTTAATTTCCATTAATATGCATATTTCAATATATTATACTTCATAAGAAAGATAATTGAACAACAACAACAACAAAAATCTTGAAATTAAGGTCACTAATTATTCTTGCCAGGGTTAGAAGAGAGAAGTTATTTGCAAGGAACAAAATGGTTTTCTTTTAAAATCTTTCATTTATGTGAAATTGGAATCTATATTTACTACATTGTGAAAAGTGCTATAAAGTGCTATAATACCTTTTCCTCTTAACTGCAACTTCAAAAGGAAGATGATTGAAGCTTTGTCTTATTTCTCCTTTAAATAGCTTTTGAGAATTTTCTCATTTAAAATTCATGTATTTATATGTCCCCATTTAGTTCAGCAGTAGTATAAATATATGTTGCTAAAAAGTGTTTCTCAGAATTCTAATAAGTAGTGAAGGACACCATCCAGTATTGTGTTATCAAAAATACTACGTGTAAATTAGTGCATCTCTATGAGTTTGGCGCATATCTAAATCCATGCTTCTATTTCACTGTTACTCAAAACAGTTTTATATCCTATTCCAGAGAGAAATTATGATTTAATTTTGTGATAGGTGGGGGAATGCTATTTTTCCTGGAAAAATTAGATTTTTAAGTATTATGTGTTTCATATTTACCACCTTTTTAAAAAAAATAACTAGTTATTGAAAACATTTAAAACTTTGAAATTAAATTTACAAATATGTTAGATATTTATGAAAGCATTACTTGCACTTTGATTTACTAATAACACATCTAAGTAGTTAACAGTTTTGTCATATTCCTGGAAAATGTTTTAGATTTGTGGCCTGTTGGACTTTTCCCCCTTCTTTCCCCCCTAGAATTACAAATTAAAGTTTTAAATCTAAGCAGTTTTTTTTGGTGAGGAGGAAAGTATCACAATTTTATGTTTATTCACCTTCCCAACCTCTCTAAGTGTACTTTGCAAATATCTGAGCACAGACAGAAGTACCAAATGCTCTATGAATTCTATGCTTAGCAAATTATTAAACCTGAATTACTTTAAAATTCATATACATTTTGGGGTGCCTGGGTGGCTCAGTCATTATGTGTCTGCCTTCAGCTCAGGTCACAATCCTGGGGTCCTGGGATTGAGCCCCGCATTGGGCTCCCTGCTCAGCGGGAAGCCTGCTTCTTCCTCTCCTCCTCCCCCTGCTTGTGTTCCTGCTCTTGCTATAACTCTATCTGTCAAATAAATCAATAAAATCTTTTAAAAAAATTAACATACATTTTGTTATAGCAAAATTTGTTATTTTAATTTTATTTAGAGTCAGTATAAGTATTTTTCACAGAGACTTCATATTTTTCTCTACTGCCTAAATGGGTATTGGCTGTAGCTTTTTTTGTGGGGATGGATTTCAAGTCCTAATAGTCAAACATTTTTTAATTTTACTTTTTTTCTCCTACAATATAGACTTTTGTTGTTGTTGTTGTTATTTGGACAGTAGTTCAATAAGTCTTTAAGCTCAGATAATTAACAATTTTGAGTCTTTTAACGAGAGGCTTTTTTGTATGGGATGGTATCAGCCTATGCACAATGAATTTAATAAATTTAAGTATTACCGGACTTTTTGCACATTTTAGCTCAATAAAGTGTGAATCAGCTTTCTAGATTTTCTTTATCCATATTTGGAAATACAGTTTTGTAAAAATCAGTCTTACCTTTTTGATACAGTAGATCATCTTTGGTTTTGTTTTAATAAAACAAGCGCTTTTATCTTTTGTTTTTCAGGGAAAGGATTAACATTTAATTCTGTTTGTTTACATTTTTATCACTGTTATCCAATGCCCATTTTATGTTACTTTATAAGTAAGCTTACATGTCACAGAATAAGTATCTGTTTATGTAATCTACATGTGAATATTTTACTGTCTAGCCCAGTCATTTAACATTATGCTGATATTTACCACTGCGGGGAAGAATGATCACTATTCACCAAGCATATTTAAACATGTACATCTTTAAGAAATAAGCATAATAAGGATAATAGTTTGGGTTAATAGGATTATCATAGGTGTTTTTCCCCTAGGAAACATAAATAATGATTTTAGTGTATTTCTTATGGAATGCACTCATGAAAAGGACTTTAAGAAATTGTGGATAGTGAGTAATACATTTCTCTAATAAAAATTTAAATTGTATAATAGTTTTATAATAAAGTACACTAATTGATATTTTAATATGGATGGAAGTTGTGTAGATGCAAATAAATTAAAAATTGATAAATGCTAAATATTTTATCTAAATAGTTTTTCAAGAAACAGTTGTGAAAATGTGTATATTAAGTGGCTCTAACATGGAGCTAGTGGTATTTTCAACTCAGTATTCATTATTCTTTGTTTCATGTGTCTAGAAAGTTCATACTTAGTATGCCTCTTTACACTACAATTTACTATTGTGGGGCTTTAGATTGGGTTCAACTGAATAAGAACTTTTTTTCTGGTTTTGAGTGTAATTTATTATTTTATGATTTCTAAGACGATGTTCATATTATCTCTATCATGTCTATTAAATTGATAATATAACTTAAAAGGATTAATTTTCAGAGATATTTCAGTTGTAATTTTCATATTTCATGCAACTGAAAACATTTGTTTCTAGGATTTGGAATATTGTAGAAAATACAGGATGAAAGAAAATGGTATGAAACAGTTTTATTTGTGAAATTACAGAAATTTTGTCCACTGTTTTTAAAACATTGTCATCATTTTAATACTCTCTTAGCAGTTAGACATTTGATACTTTAAAACTTGATTTGCTCTTAAAATTGTTTACAATGCTTTGTAATAATCTTCCTTATCCAGTGCCTTTAACCTTGATTTGATATGTTTATAGCCTCAGTTATCATTCCACTACATCCTATAATATTTTTATAGCCTAGACAGCAGTTTCTTTTAAAAAGACATGTTAATTTGATCATGTAAAGAGATAGCAATTGTCTGTCAATGCTTTGGGAAGACAAGTAGAGTTGCCTATAGGCCAGGCTTCTTAATTCATTCAAAAATATTTAGTGGATGTCTACCATGTGCCCAGCATTTTTGGCCCCTGAATATACAGTTCAGACAAAGCCCTAACCATTTTCTGCATTCTATCTAGATGGGGTGGGTTTGGGGACCGAATTAAAGGAGAGATACAGAAAAATATGCATTTAGCAATAATAAAGTTAACTAGCATTTGAGTTTGTGTAAAGATAAGGAAATGATTATTGAGCTGAGATGAAGCAACTGACAATATGTTAGGTTAAAAATAATACTTTGCAGCATTATAACCTCTATTTGACTCTTGAGTTCAGGTAGTAATTATAGATAGGATAAAAAGGCCTTAATTTTTCACTTTTCTTGCTGGTAAAGGTACGTTTATTTTTAGGCTGTCCATTTTAGAGTAGTGTTTTAACAGAACATTACTGTGAAAAACATTCCATTACATATTCACAAGCAAATTACTGCACATTTTTAAAATTGGGTTTTACAATTTAGTACAAATACTTTAGGCCTCAGTCTCATCTTCAAACCACTGGTATTTTAAGTTTGGCAAGGAATATGAAATTTTTGACTTACGGAGTGACTATATTGTTACTAAAAGTGCTTGCTAATATTTTGGGATGGAGTCTCCGTTTTCTTGATGTTTTAATTCTTGTTACTTATGTTGATAGTGTCAATAAGAGGAAATAGCATCGTGTGAGTAAATAGAGTATACTTTGAAAAATTTTATATTTTAATTGTTAAACTTTGTCATCATTGGATTAAATTTTGGCCTGGGGTTCACTTATAATATATGTTAACAAGTTTAATTATGAAGTGAAATAGTTTCAAGTATGATGTGTAATGCACCTGCATATAAATGAAATTGGCGTGCACAAAGACACTTTACTATAGGGAGTTGTACTGGAAGATTTATGAAAGCATGTGAAATTGCACCTAAAATTGTATTAGTGACTATGCTAAATTTATTGTACTTGATGAATGAATGTATTTAGTGTAGTCAAAGTTACTTTGGTTTTAAATGTCTATACAATGTCTTTTTTTTAATGTGTTTGTAATTTGTAGTATTGATGGGGGTATTCTTGGACTGCAGGGGTTATTGTCAATGTGTGATTTGTGTTTTTGTTTTATAGAATCATCTAATGTGATATACTGATTTTTATAAGTGATATTTAGATAATTCTAATAACTGTATATTTGACAACCTATTAAAATGTTTTGCATTGGAGCTTTTCTTCATTAATTGTAATATGCTAACAAACTCATGGTAATTTAAAAATAACTCATTCAACAAATATTTGAGTGCATGTTATGTACCAGAAACTACAGGAATCATAGGGATTCAAGGATGATTAAGACAAGCTGTTAACAGAAAAAACCAAAAACACATGCATTGCAAATGAAAAAGTATGTAAACTTTTTGCCTGAATATTTTTCTATGAGATATACTAAAATCTTTGGAATCAACCTTATAGTCAAATTGACTTGGCTGTGAAAATACATACTATAATTGTAAAACTTCAGAAGTGGGTAAGATAGTTTTGCCTGTATTTGAAGATTCATGAATCAGCTACTTAATCAGTGACCTAATTATTTTCATTCATTAATTAAAAAGGGTACTATCAAACACATACCGTATATTAGGCACCATATTTGGCTTTGGAGATTTTGAAAAGTTGCATAGGAGATTCAGTACATGTTCTCAAGATATGTACTCTCTGGTAGAAAGAAAAAAACTATTAATATGGGATAAAATATTATTGGGGCTATGACTGATACTTAACCAATATCCAGCAGGGCTGTGAAAGAGAAGAGTCAGTTCTGATAAAATGCAACAGGAAGCTTCATTGCAATTGTGAGTCAAGGCTCCATAAAGCTATACGGCATTCCTCTTTTATGCCTGCTACTGTGAACTGTGGGAAGGAGCAATACTATATGAAGTAGTTTCTTAAGATTGGCTGCCTAGGGAGGGGGGAAAGATGGTGGAGGAGTAGGGGACCCTATTTCAACTGGTCCCCGGAATTGAGCTGGATATCTACCAGACCACTTTGAGCACCCACGAAACCAGCCTGATATGTAAGATCTGGATCTCTACAAACAGAATATCGCAGGCAGTTGGTTTTGAGGTACGAAAGGGAGAGCCGTGATTCTGGGGGCAGAAATCGGAGGATAAATGGCAGTGGGAGGGTGCCTGGCCGTGGGGATCCTACACCGCCGGTGAGTGACAGCCTCGCGCGCTGCGGTCCAGGCACAGACTCGCAGACCGGTAGCGGCAGGGAAAGGACTTTAGGGCAGCCCCCGGGGTGGAAAACCGGACCAGTGGGGTCGTGCGCACGTGAACTGCAGCACCCGGATAGAAACCCGGAGCGACGGTCGCGCGCACGCGAACTGCAGTGTCCGAGACAGAAACCCGGTGCGCCGGGGTCCCGCCGGTGACCGGCAACCTCCGGGGTGGAATCCCCCAGCGGCGGAGTCGGGCACACATGAACTGCAGACCCTGGGACAGAACCCCAAGCGGTGGAGTCGCGGGCATGTGCGAACTGGGAGCAGCTGGCGGTTTTAGAAACACAAAGGGCAGAGACGTGCCCCGACCTGGAGGCAGGACTGGGAGCGCTGCGGAGGGGCGCACAACCCAGGACGCTGCAGTCTATAGCAGCACGGACAGAAACAGAGACGGTGTGGCCTGGAGAGCTCACTGAAGAACAGACTGCGGTCTCGCTGCTCTGAGGCAGAGGGTTGGAAACGGTCTCTTCTGCTCTGACTCGTGGAAGAGACACAGAAAGCCGCCAGGGAAAGCTGCCAGAGAACAAAAGCCCCAAAAACTGATTCCCGCTGAGCCCATCCCCCACCACAGGGGCGCAGGGCAACTCCGCCCAAACAGGGTTGCCTGAGTAACAGCGCGGCAGGCCCCTCCCCCAGAAGACAGGCTGGGAAAACAAGAGGCCAACAACCCTAAGGTCCCAAGAAAACAGGTGCATCTTGCTTGGGTTCTGGTCAATAATTTGGACTCTATACATTCCCTCAAACACCCATCAACAGAATGACTAGGAAGAAAAGCCCCCAAAACAGAAAAGACTCAGAGATTATGACTTATGCTGCAGATTTACAAATGGATGCAGATATAACCAAGATGTCGGAGATGGAATTCAGGCTAGCAATTGTGAAGACAATGGCTAGAATGGAGAAACCAATTAATGGCAACATAGAGTCTCTAAGGGCAGAAATAAAAGGTGAATTGGCAGAACTTAAAAATGCTATCAATGAGATCCAATCCAATCTAGATAATCTAACAGCTAGGGTAACTGAGACAGAAGAGAGAATAAGCGATCTGGAAGACAGTATAATAGATAAAAAAGGAAAAGAGGAGGCCAGGGAAAAACAACTCAGAATCCATGAAAATAGAATCAGAGAAATAAGTGACACCATGAGGCGTTCCAATGTCAGAATCATTGGAATCCCAGAGGGAGTGGAGAGAGAGAGAGGGCTAGAAGATGTATTTGAGCAAATCGTAGCTGAGAACTTCCCTAATCTAGGGAATGAAACAAACATTCGAGTCCTAGAGGCAGAGAAGACCCCTCCTAAGATCAAGGAAAACAGGCCAACACCCCGGCATGTAATAGTAAAACTTGCAAATCTTAGAACCAAGGCAACCATCTTAAGGGCAGTTAGGGGGAAGAGATTCCTTACGTACAGAGGGAGGAACATCAGAATAACGTCAGACCTATCCACAGAGACCTGGCAAGCCAGAAAGGCCTGGCAAGACATATTCAGGATACTAAATGAGAAGAACATGCAGCCAAGAATACTTTATCCGGCAAGGCTTTCATTTAGAATGGATGGAGAGATGCAGAGCTTCCACCACCAGCAGAAGTTGAAAAAATATGTGACCACTAAGCCAGCCCTGCAAGAAATATTAAGGGGGGTTCTATAAAAGGGTGATCTACAACAGAAATTTACAGGGACAATCTATAAAAACAACGTCTTCACAGGCAACATGATGACAATTAATTCATATCTTTCAATAATCACTCTCAATGTGAATGGCCTAAACGCTCCCATAAAACGGCACAGGGTTGCAGATTGGATAAAGACAGGACCCATCCATATGCTGTCTACAAGAGACTCATTTGGAACCTAAAGAGACATCCAGACTGAAAGTGAAGGGATGGAGATCCATCTTCCATGCCAGCAGACCTCAAGAGAAAGCTGGGGTAGCAATTCTTTTATCAGACAAATTAGATTTTAAACTAAAGTCTGTAATAAGTGACACAGAAGGACACTATACCATTCTTAAAGGGTCTATCCAACAAGAAGATCTAACAATTGTAAATATCTATGCCCCCAACATGGGAGCAGCCATCTACATAAGCCAACTGTTAACCAAAATAAAGAGTCATATTGATAACAATACATTAATTGTAGGAGACCTCAATACTCCACTCTCAGCAATGGACAGATCATCTAAGCAGAAAATCAACAAGGAAACAAGAGCTTTGAATGATACATTGGACCAGATGGACCTCATAGATATTTACAGAACATTCCACCCTAAAACAACAGAATACTCATTCTTCTCGAGCGCACATGGAACTTTCTCCAGAATAGACCATATACTGGGTCACAAATCAGGTCTCAACCGATACCAAAAGATTGAGATTATTCGCTGCATATTCTCAGACCACAATGCTCTAAAACTGGAACTCAATCACAAGAAAAAAATTGGCAGAAATTCAAACACTTGGAAGCTAAAGACCACTCTGCTCAAGAATGTTTGGGTCAACCAAGAAATCAAAGAACAACTTAAACAATTCATGGAAATCAATGAGAACGAACATCGGTCCAAAACCTATGGGATACTGCAAAGGCGGTCCTAAGGGGGAAATACATAGCCATCCAAGCCTCACTCAAAGAAAATAGAAAAATCCCAAATTCACCAACTAACTCTACACCTTAAAGAACTAGAGAAAAAGCAACAAACGATGCCTAAGCCACACATTAGAAGAGAAATAATTAAAATTAGAGCAGAAATCAATGAATTAGAAACCAGAATCACAGTAGATCAGATCAATGAAACTAGAAGTTGGTTCTTTGAAAGAACTAATAAGATTGATAAACCACTGGCCAGACTTATCCAAAACAAGAGAGAAAGGACCCAAATTAATAAAATTATGAATGAAAGGGGAGAGATCACAACTAACACCAAGGAAATAGAAACAATTATTAGAAATTATTATCAACAACTATATGCCAATAAACTGAGCAATCTGGATGAAGTGAAGGGCTTCCTGGAAACCTATAAGCTGCCAAGACTGAAACAGGAAGAAATTGACAACCTGAATAGGCCAATAACCAGTAACGAGATTGAAGCACTGATCAAAAACCTCCCAAAACACAAGAGTCCAGGGCCTGATGGATTCCCTGGGGAATTCTACCTAACACTCAAACAAGAAATAATACCTATTCTCCTGAAGCTGTTTCAAAAAATAGAAACAGAAGGAAAACTTCCAAACTCATTCTTTGAGGCCAGCATTACCTTAATCCCCAAACCAGGCAAAGACCCCATCAAAGAGGATATATTTCAGACCGATATCCCTGATGAATATGGATTCCAAAATCCTCAACAAAATCCTAGCTAATAGGATCCAACAATACATTAAAAGGATCATCCACCACGACCAAGTGGGATTTATCCCCAGGATGCAAGGGTGGTTCAACATTCGCAAATCAATCAATGTGATAGAACACATTAATAAGAGGAAAGAGAAGAACCATATGGTCCTCTCAATTGATGCAGAAAAAGCATTTGACAAAATACAACATCCTTTCCTGATTAAAACTCTCCAGAATATAGGGATAGAGGGAACATTCCTCAAGCTCATAAAATCCATCTATGAAAAACCCACAGTGAATATCATCCTCAATGGGGAAAAGCTGAGAGCCTTTCCCTTAAGTTCAGGAACACGTCAAGGGTGCCCACTCTCACCACTGTTGTTCAACATAGTACTAGAAGTCCTAGCAACAACAATCAGACAACAAAAAGAAATAAAAGGTATTCAAATTGGCAAAGAAGAAGTCAAACTCTCTCTTTTTGCAGACGACATGATACTTTATGGGGAAAACCCAAAAGACTCCACCCCGAAATTACTGGAACTCATCCAGCAATTCAGTAATGTGGCAGGATACAAAACCAATGCACAGAAATCAGTTGCGTTCTTATACGCTAACAAT